AAACATGAGTTTTCCACGTTTGGCCTTGCAAAAAAACAAACCAAAAAAGAAAGACTAACTTCTCTGGCAAGTTGCACCCCCTGTTGGCGAATCCTAAAACTGCCTATGCAACCAGAGAGGACATGAGAATGAGAAGCAGTTACAGTTGCTGTGCATAACGCGCTCTTGTTAACAACCCATAGCTGGTAGTCTGCTGTGTTTTATTACTCGTCCCATAGCTCACCTGCCAAGCGGCTGATGTGAGCCTGTGACAGTGTGTTAGGCAGAGAGACGCTGTCAGAAATTACGGAAAAGGAGCGTCCCGTTTTAGTTCATTACGGGACATGTCTTTTTGTTTTCAAATATGATACGATCCGGTTTTTTACGGTACGGTTGGGAACCCTAGTAGCACGCTACTGAAAGTTTGGTGGGTGCACACCTGAATCTACATTTAACATCTGATGAAAATTCCTGTGCTATTTTCTACATAAAGTTTACAGAAATATGCACAAACATATTGTTAGGGTTTTGCGGGTTTGTCATATTAAAAATTGTACATCATGAGTTTGTTTGTATCTAATTATGTTTCTCATTTCTTTGCACAGTGCTTCCTGGTGCTGGGCAGTGACAAAGGACCCAAGCAAGATTTCAGGCTGTTTTTTAGCGTGCCTGAGTAGCGAATAGTGTGCATGCTTAGTCCATCTTACAGCACATACCAACTGATGGGGGTGTTAAATTGGGTTTGTAAATTAATTCCTAGCCTGAATCTTAGGTTAATGCTTTGACGACTCCCTTAATGTGTTGAATGTATGTAAATAGATAAGACTTTGTAATGGTTTTGTTATAATTGTGTTTTACTTTGCAAATGTTAGATTTGTATTTTTTCACTGAACTCATGTAACTCACTGTCTGTTATCTCTTCACTTCAGATTCAGATTTACACTTTCCTACTTAACTCATGCAACCTCTCCTCACTTCCTCCTGCCCCTCTCCCTGCTCTCCTCTTCTCTCTCCTCCCTAGCTGCCTGATAGTTTGTTCAGGTTGAAGATACAGCAGTCCGTAATGAAACCTGTAGCTTCTTCACACTTCCAAACTCTGTCCCTCCCCTATTTTGAGCTCATAACAATGAGACAAAGGTGAGAGCTGTTTGACTCTGCTTTTAAAGAAGAAAGTGAGGGTGCACTGCATTTATTTGAAATGCGATAGACAGGCACAATACCATTTAGTCTTATACCGTATTTGTATGAAGTGGGAAGCAACAACCGTGATCAAAATTAATACCTGATTGTTTGCCCAACTTTAAGTTGACCAAGCTAAAATGGTTGTTGGTTACAACACTTGAAATCTGACCACAGCATCTATTTGTAAAAATGTCACATAACAAACAGGATGATGGACAGGTCTTATTGTAATGTTTAGGTTTTGATGTGAAAACCCACCAGATTTCCTGCTTTAAATACCCTTTCAATGATGAGCTTTAAAAACCTCTGATCCTCTGAAAGGCTCAGCTGACTATTAAGGTTTGTTGGTGCATTAAAATGTTTTTTTTTTTTAATTAACTGGTTGTTTTGGTGTCTAACTTCCTGTCTTTCTGAAATTGCCCTGTCATGATTGATGCATCATGCTTCAACATCTGGCAAAAATAGAAGCTGTGCTTTTCTGCTGCAGATTGCCTGAACTGAGACACAGAGGAATCACAATAGAAAGCAAACACACAGACAAAATTGAAAACCTGTGTTAGGAGGGAATGAATGAAAATCTGATTGAATTTGGAGGTCATGTCTACACCTTGTGCTTAGTGTTAAACTTAGATCTTAAACTTTTACAAACAATGATGGTTAGCTGAGGAGTCAGGTGATAGAAACATGATATACATCCTCCACCTCCAAAATCAAGTCTCCTTAATCTGATGGACAGAAAACTTAAAAGAAGTCTGCCTGTGTGTATGTTCTGTCAAAAAGAGTTGACATCCCTGAGCGGAAAGGCACATTTCATTAAAAATCCATGTTCAACTTAGACTGGAAGTTTGAAGACTCAAGTACAGTGGTTCTCACTGGCTATTAGTATAAAGGAGATGTAGCAGAGTCCCAAGCAGTCAGACTATGAACCAATTTACAGCCTACCTCATCAAGATGCTGCGCAGCATGGCAAGTGTCAAGAAAGTAGCCTACTATTTTGCCTCAGCCACTCAAATGACCAAGTAAGCGGGACAAACGTCCTGCTTCGACCAACCGGTGACGATAAATCACTATTGGGTGAGAGAGACTCACACACCAGGAATCACTCACAACGTTACACACACACGCACACATGCAGAGCAGCGATCTGAAGTAAACATCGGTACTAACTGTATTAACTTCATCACCAGAGTCTCCCACATTATTACACCTGTGTCCTCTCATCAACACAGACCTACCTGTGTTCACCAAGCTACAGGTTTCACAGCAGCTTATTACACGACACCTCGAAAAATATAAAACATCCTGATCTCAGTCCATCACACATACTAGCAGAGACATAACTCAGGAAATATTTCTTTCTTTCGTTTCATCTGTTTGCAATGTGTGAAAAAAGTTTTAGCTCGCTTAAACTTCAGGTGTCCTCACAGAGGCCAACTGGAGGAGCATCTCTGTACTTGGTAACGAGCTCACACTGCATTGAACCACCTTTGGGGGGCCCTGGCTTGCAAAAGTTTGAGAACCCCTGCTCTAGTACATTACTGCTCTGCTCTAATGTACACCATGTGATGTATGAAGCACAGAATGAGGCCAAGGGCCCATGATGAATGCTAGACAGTAGAGGGAGTATGTTTGTGAGGTGCTTGCTTTTCTGATCACTTAAAGCTCACCACTAGGCTTTAGTCAGCAGGGGCAGTTAAGGGTCAAGTGTTCACTTCAGCATGTGGACAGCAGGACCTGGGATCGAACAACAGACTACAGACTACCACTGAGCCATGTAGTTCCTTATCTGATGGTCTGTTGAGAAGTGCGGCAAACATTGAGTATATTCATTGAGTATATTTGGAAGTTGTTGTGTAACATTTTGGAGGCACACTTTTTTAATCTGGAAAATTCAAATACTCTAGGATGAAAAAGTTGACCCTATTAATCTTTTTAAATGTAGACATCAGGACACCCTGCTATGCCTTCAGTGCTGTCTTTCTGGAAGATTCCTTCAGGACATCATTGCTCCTATTCCACAAACAGGTCCACGTGGACTTGTTTGAGCCCAAAGCATAACCTCTACTTTAATCTAAACTTTAACAAGTCAAGAGGGTGCTTAAACCTCCAACAGCAGAACAACACTGACCACTGTGTTTTATGTACTTCAAATCGTTTGGTCTGGACCAGTGTTGTGAGTCCACTACTAAGCAATGCGTCAAACTTCCACCATTACATGTGGTAACCTGTCATGTATATCTAAATGAAACTTGAAAAGGTCTCATCCTCTTTACACCGAACTACATACCACCTGCTGTATTGATGATGATACAACCCTGTTAATCACTCAACCCTACATGTTAGACAGTCCCACTTTCACTTAAAGTGCACTAAACAGAACTTCTCTGACGAGTGGTCGGGGATTCTTTTTCTCTCCATGTACTGTATACGGCTCAATCAGACTGAGACCGGCCTGAGCTTTCTGCACATGCTCTATGGTTCACATGTTGGGCTTAAAACCAGACAGTGAATTGCACAAATGTGTTATAGTAAACAAAAACTCAACAGACAAAGAAATGGAGTAAAAAAGAACCCAGAAACGGTCAAATAAATGGTTCAGAGCTGTAAAGTGTTGCTGTTGATCAGCTTACATCCCGTTGGCGTCTTGTCAATGCATTTTGTAGACAGTAGTAATGATGAGCTGAAAGGAGCATTTCCTAACTACCATATAAACTGGGACATTTGCAAAAAGTAGTTAAATGGAAAGAAAATGAAAGTACTGCATTGCAAAATGAAAATTTGCAATGCAGTACTCACTCTGATAAAGTCTCATATGATAGTATAAGTTGAAGCAGCTAATGGAACAGTGGTTTTAGTGAGCCATGATGTGGCTCAAATGTAGTAACTCAATAAAGACATTAAGTTTGTGGTATGTGAATGTGTATTTCTAAGTAGGTATTTGTGGTGTGAACTGCTGAATATTACGGAGCCCCTCTGATGACATGGTCAAAAAAAAAATAACTCGTGGCCACAATATAGCTATAACGTGCGCACGAAATACTAATTCGTGCGCACGAGATACTAATTCGTGCGCACGAAATACTAATTCGTTTGCACGAAATACTAATTCGTGACCACGAAGTAGGTATAACGTGCGCACAAAATACTCATTTGTAGCCACGAAATAGATTTATTGTGCGCACGAAATACTAATTAATACTATTAAAATCATTTCAGCACGGCTGGGTAAGCAAATCGAGCGCACCTCTCGGATCAAAGGTCGAGGCAAAAGCGACACAATGGACAGGGACAGTCAGATAGAATTTTATTTTAGACTGGGAATGAGCTACAAAGACATTCTGAAAAGCCTGGCATTGCAAGGAATCATCATTACCGAGAGACATTTAAACAGGATATTGAGAGCCAGGTTGCTTTACCGGCGAAGGTACGACTTGGACGCTGGGATAGATTTCATTGTTGATCAGCTGCAAGGCCCTGGAAAGGATAGCGGTTACCGGTGGATGTTTACAAAGTGTAAACAACACGGTATTTCTATCAGGAAAGAAGACGTCAGGATTCTCCTCTCTCTACTGGACCCCATCGGTTCCCAAGTTCGCCAGACCAGACGTCTCAGAAGGAGGCAATATTTTGCTCAGGGACCCAACTTCGTGTGGCACATAGACTCATATGACAAACTGAAGCCATATGGGATATGTATTAATGGCTGCATCGACGGGTTTTCACGCAACATCATTTGGCTGCGGGCCGACTTCACGAATAGCGACCTGAAAGTTATCGGGGGGTACTTTATGGAAGCAGTGGAGCGCTGTGGGGGCTGCCCAAGGCTCGTACGAACTGACATGGGCACTGAGAACGTGGTGGTCAGAGACCTTCAGCAGCATTTACGGAGAAATGACGTGGATGACAGAGCAGTGGAGGGAAGCTACATCACAGGAGCAAGTACCGCGAACCAGAGAATTGAGAGCTGGTGGGGAGTGATGCGAAAAGAAGGAATCGAACCCTGGATCACGCTTCTGGCAGAACTGAAGGATGAGGGATTCTTTGCTGGGGATTTCATTGACAAAGCTCTGTCACAGTTCTGTTTCATGCCAATCATTCAGGTAAATAGCCTATTAACTCTACATTAACTTCATGTAATCTTAGAGATTTAAGCCACTGTGAGTTTCTTTATTTAATGTGTGTGATGTATTGATTCTTTTAGGCTTTTTTATGCACTTTTGAAGGCCGTTTTCTTTTTTCCCTTTTCTTTTCTTCCTCTTCCCTTGTCTCGCTACGAGATGCGGTCGTCGCCATGTTTGTGTATATCTGATACTATGGCAACGAGACTCGGCTCCTATTGGTCCACGTGACAAAAATCGCTTCACCCCTCTGCATATTCGATTGCGCGTGTGCAAGTATCACTGCGCCGAAAGGAAATAGTTCGGCAACAAAACACTGATTACTAAAAATCTACAGGATGTATGAGTAGATATTTTTTTAGTACTTACTATCAATAGAGCTATTTTATGAATCACAGTTTATGTTGCCCCACTGAAGTGGAACGAGCTTCACTCTCTAGGCACTTTTTCCTCTGTCCCAATACAGCCTATTTAGGCTGTTGTGAAAATAAGACACATCACAATGTAATTTAATCTACTTTTATTTGCTTAACACAAACTTTTGTTTTTCTTACTAACTGCAAATGCAGAGAAGAAAGAGGACTATGTTTCATTTATTATAGGCCCTAATCACTGTTTAAAAATGCACTGCATGCCAGCTGTGAATGAATTGTACTTGTTTCTTCAACAGGAGGTATTAAATGGCATCCGGGGTGTTTGGAATGCTCACCGTATAAGGCCATCCAGGAACACCAACGTGCCCAGTGGGACACCTGATGTCATGTACATGGCCCTCACCTTTGGGGTGCAGAAGACTGCCTTTTTCCACTGACTGATGATTTAACCACATGTAAAGACAGCTGCACATTTATCAGTTCATTACCATGTGATGTGGACGTGTTTGATCTGTGCACAATAATAATGGAGGAGTCAAGCTTGGAGTTCCCTTCTACCATGTCCCAGGCACTCGATTTGTATTTTCATCTGAGGGACACAGTTCGTCCACAGTTATTTGAGGCTATTTAAATGGACACAAGCATACAAATCAACTCGTACATTTGGTACTTTAGTACATGTTTTTAGAGCATAATGTACATCTAAGTAAGTGGTAAGAAATGTTTGACTCATATAGTTGTAGCCTACAAGTAACACAAAATTAATCTTTTAGACTTATTAGCCTTCAATTAATATCAGTAATATTAGTGTATAATCAATGCTCCTCCTTTACCGAGCCTGTTTTTTTGTGGAAGAGATTAAAACAATCAAATGTTTGATAAAGAACTCTGTCTTTCATAACAAATCACAGCACATTTATAACACTAGAGAGTGAGGTGTAAAATAAGTATGGGTGGTGTCATTAGAAATGCTGAAGTGTAACGATGTATAGAATATAAGAGAGACAGGATATCAACATTTTGTACAAACTTGAATGGTTTACTGGTCATATTTTTTAAAATACACCTTTTGTCAAAAGCAGAACAGGTTGTATTTTGAACATAATAACAGGATAAGAATTGTTTTAAAACCTCCTGTTAGCCAGCATCATAATGATAATTACAAAATAATATTATTTAAACTTTTTTAAAATGTAAACAACTGCATTATTTTTCAACACCTTTGAAACATCAGCCAAGGCTCACATTCTTGTTACTAGTGGGGTTGCTACAAACAATATTATATCATAATAATAATAATATAAAATATGCTTAATCAATTGGATTTTGGTATGTGAAGTGGAGCTGTATGACTGCTCATAAAGCTGTAGTTTTCTTTTGGCACCAACTGGAGTATGCACACTGGAGTGTGCATCAGGCATAGATTCACTTTAGGTGTAGGCATATGGGAGTTTTATGGCCAGTATCAAAGGAAACAAAAATTTTCCCACCAAGTGAAGCACTGACAATATTCCTAATGTAGTGTACAGGTAAGCCAGTGTATTCTTTTGAGGTGGGACTTCTTTTAGATGAGTAAAATATGTTTGTTACTGTGATGCTGTGACCGTGCCCAGCAATGTCTACTACAAGTACTGCTCTGTCTACACATACATACCTTATACAGCTCCACTGAACTATCTCTTTAAGCTTAACATTTGATGGGAAAGAACAAAGCAACCACTTTATAAACAGATGAAATAAAATGCTGCACAAATAAAAGGAACAATGGGCTGCATAACAAAAACATCCAGTCTAGCAAGTAGCTGTCACATCCTTCGTGTTATTGTTTGTATTATTACCTACACCACATCCATTACCCACATTGAGCTTGTGAGAATGCTGTTAAATTCACTGTGAAAATCTGGATAGCTGTAGTAGCCAGTGGGCAGCTTAAGTACACATCCACATGTGTGAGATTGTGGTCTGCGGAGGAAATCTGTGGTTTCTACGAACTCAATTTGTATGGCCTTATCCAACAGATCAGATCCTGTACAAAAACGCAGGAAAAGCTGAAGATTGTTGCAATCAATTTCCCCAATGTACCTTTTCAGGTAACGAGAAACTGTTGACTGGGCTGCTGTCATCTCCTCTGGAAAGTTTAGAAGCTCCTTCACTGTTTTTGCAGTTGTTTTTTTTTGTGCAATGAAATGATTCAGTCCTTCTGGTGGTAGTAAACCAGTCATAGAACCCACAACAGGACGCCAGCACTTAATTACAAACATTGGGGCCTGAACGATTACTTTGTGTCCAATCTGTGACAAAACAGGGAGCAGTGTGTCCTTGGTAGGGACTTGCTTGCATTCATTTGCATCGAGTACATCCAGCAACTCATCTGTGTCCACTGAATTAAAGTCCTCCAAAGCCTTCAGAAGGACAGATCTTTCTTCTTGTGATACGTACAGCAAAAAGGAATCCTTGAAACTACTGGTTGTCGAGCCATAAAGCACCTCTTCCAGAAATGGTATTGCAAGCTTCACTGGGAAGTAACCAGCTTGTTTCCACCCAACTACAAACACCCTAGCTACAGCCTGCCATTCTTCACACTGAAAGTCATGCCTGATGAAGGAGACTTTCACCTCAACTCCCAGCGTGCAGCTGTCATAGAAATCCATCCAAAATTCTGTCAGGCAGTCTCGCAAAACACCACTTCCTTCCCCCTGTTCAAGCTCTCCATTTGGTAAACGCATTTTGATGTTGACCTCAGATGCAGTAATGTTTGGGTCCTTGAAGGCACTGATCAAGTCAGCGAGACAGTGACCTCTTCTTACAATCAGCGTTACAGGACAAGGTTGTGGTTCAGGAAGTGTTTGGGCTGGAACATTGGCCTCCCCTGCAAGCACCGGTGACAGATCCACAGTTTGATGAGGTGCATCATTCTCTTTTTCTGGAAAGAGAATTTCAAGGTTTCGTTCATCCACACGTACATCCAGCCTGTCATCCCCATTTATAATAACAACTTCACAATCTTCGCTTTCATCCACAGTTAGCAGACCATCCCATGGTAATGTGTCATTCAGTTCCAAATGTCCACTTGTGGAAGCTCCATCATCAAATCCATAGTGGTTTGGTGATTCTGAATTTCTGTTTTCTATCAAAAGATCGTCACCAGCCTGATTCTGTTCATTGTTAGTGAGATCTACCACTGGGGGCTGGCTTAATGCATGATCAACCTCCACTCCTGAGGGCTGCTGTCCTGTTTTCTGTTTGGTGCACAGATAAAGTCTCAGAATTCTGACCTTGCTTTGATTATATAACTCGTCAACTGTACTGGACACATCAACATGCATCTGTGAGCTCTCAATATGAGTTGAATAGTGTGAAAGACTTTTTTTTTTTTTGAAAGGCCTTTGGGGAAAAAAAGATTTTCAGCCATAAGTCTGATATTTGCCACTGTTTCGTCTTTGTCAACAGAGAGATGCCTCGTTCCTCCACCACTTACAGACTTCACCTGCTTGAACCTCTCCTCCGCCTCATCAAAATCCATCCAGCCAACCTCAATTCGTCTCTTTTTCCGTTGGGCATTCATATTTCCTGCCCACTTAGATGTTTTCTTTTTTGGTGGCATCCCTTCAGCTCCAGACAGTCTTTGTCGTAGCCTTGAGAGAAGGCTTTCTTTCCTGGATGCTGACTTATGTGACAGTGATGCTTGTCTGCAGAAGGCCACAATGGAGACTCTATCTCCAACTTTGGGGATGTACTTTGCCAGGTCACTGTCTGTCATTAACGGAATGACAGTTTCATCAATCTGAAAAAATAAAAGATAGTCAATAAAAAAATAAATTAATACATACACATGCATAACACAGAATGAAAATGAAAAGCGAAGTTAAAAATATCGTATATTGATGGTATAAGAGTGTAATTATTCACATCATTAGTTTTTGATTTTATTCAGCCAACTTTTGATTTGAACATTTACTTTTGGAAATGATGCACATATTTTTCCAACTTAAGATGACCAAGAATTTAAAAAAAATTATTCTGTAAACACAGTTGCTGTATTTGACTACATTACAAATTAAAACATAATTCAAGAGTGTGCATCTAGATTTGTGCACTGAGCCTATCTGTTCTAGTGTGACTGTCTTTGACACAAACTTTTAGTAAACATTAATCTTCTGTTTGGAAAAAAAAAATCTCAACACACACACACACACACACACACACACACACACACACACACACACAAGGCAAGCAAAGAGGGCAGCTGCAGTGGCTTACATTTTCATCCTCAAATTTCTGAATCACATCTTCAATTTTGCGCTCCATCAAAAACTCTCGCAGCCGAGTATCCATAATTGACCTCTAAATCGCAGGAAAACAAAATCAATTAACAAGTAGCCTTAACAAGCATTAGATTTCCCAAATTCTGGATCTATGATTCTAGATCACATATTGCCCCATGTCCCTGCTATTATTATTATAATGCAAAAAGCAACACTGTTTCTGCAAATGTGGTGTAAATTAATACATTCATTTTACCACTCGGTTTATTTCTGGTGACAACTGCACATTGTAGAGCTGATTTAAACATTGTACTCAAGCTCTGTCACTGTCCTATGAAATCACTTTTGTCTTTGGCAAACCAAAGTGGAATGTGTTAGGGAAGTGTTAACATAATGGTTTAATTGATTTCTGTAATTTTATTGAAGCACAAATGTCCAGAGAACGCTACAGACACATTCAGTAGTTCAGTCAAAGCAACAACAACCTGCAAAGCAATACAAACTAGATTCTGATCACTGATAGGCTATAGGTTCCCTTGGCAACGTCTACAGTGAGCGCTACTGTAACTGCAGGGATTCGTCCGGTAGCATCATTAAACGCTGCGGTTCATATTGCCTATGTATTCCCTCAGCTAAATCTGACACACATGATGCTACTTTCAAAGCAAATGACCAGTGAAAAAGCCACTTTTTAAGCTGAAACTCTGAAAAGTGAAGTCTGCAGCATAAGTTAGCGTGGTGATCAAGACAGGTTTACAGAGAGACACCTTCGTGACACAGAAAACTCTAGTTTTGTGCTCAACTTACTTCACTTAGTAGTATGCCTACAACCCTCAGCTGTACTTGAAAAGTATCCTGATGTGTGTGCAGGGCTGCAGCTCCTACAGACACAAATGAGTTTACAGCTACATGTTAGCACAACAAAACAACGTGTAGTAAGCGTATCTGTTGACACATCAACAGATACACTATCCGTTGTAACAAAGTATCAAACATAGGCCTAAATAAATAACTGCCTATATGCAGGATAACAAGATATTAACTAGAACAGCTAAGAAAAGACACTCACCTTAGGGACAACATGTAGGTACGGGCTCCATACGCAGATTATTGCAGGTTGTGGAGAAGGTGCGCTCGATTTGCTTACCCAGCTGTCCAGGAATGATTTTAATAGTATTAGTTAATATTTCGTTGGCACACTATGCCTATTTCGTGGCCACAAATTAGTATTTCGTGCGCACGTTATACCTACTTCGTGGTCACGAATTAGTATTTCGTGCGAACGAATTAGTATCTCGTGCGCACAAATTAGTATCTCGTGCGCACGAATTAGTATTTCGTGCGCACGTTATAGCTATATTGTGGCCACGAGTTATTTTTTTTTTGACCATGTCATCAGAGGGGCTCCGTAGAATATGACATGTAGTGTAGTTCATCTTTTAGCAGACAGGTTGGTGCACTTTTATTTATAAGAATGGAATATCCAGCTAACACTAACTTTTAACAACATAAGCCCACAGTCGTGTTCTGACAGTAGGTCCAGACCAATAATCGATCTACCCGCAGTTGGCATGATTATGAGAAACGTTTGTCTGGACTGCTTTGCGGGGAAGCTTAACCTACACATCTACTTAACTGCCCTGATACAGTTGGAAAGACATGTTGGTTTTGTCAAAGAAGTGTTTACAACTTTAAGAGAGAGCAGATGCAATCCTCCTCCACACAGCCAAGGGGAAGAAAAGTCCCTCTGAACAGACCTCACACCACAGGATGATCTGGGAACAAGATATCTAGAGCCATCTGATGATTCGTTTTTTGATGACTGTTTTCGGGAGAGGGAGAGAAATAAGCCGTTTCATGGTGTGTGTGTGTGTGTGTGTGTGTGTGTGTGTGTGTGTGTGTGTGTGTGTGTGTATCAGGGCTCTACACTAACTTTTCCACTGGTAGCACTTGTGCTACCAACTTTCCAAGTTTAGATTTAGATTTAACATTAAGATTTAGATATTTAGATTTAGATTTAGTATTTAGATTTGGATTTGTTTTATGTTAGTTTTACCTTCAATTTTCTTGCCTGCAAATGATAATTTTCCTATTACTTATGCATCTTTTATATGAAAAAGGACCCAAATGTGCAGAGAATGAGCTTTTTGTGTAAAATACACTACAGGCCAAAAGTTTAGAAGCAAGATCAGATTTGTACAAAAAAAGAACATAGTTTCATACATATAATTTGCAACACAATAAACATGACTATTGTGTAAAGAGTAACTTATCAGAAGACATTTTGACTACAGTTATTGGGTATTTGAGTTATTGTTGCTTAGACTTTGCTTTCTTTAAAGTAGCCTCCTCTGGCTTTAACAACAGCTTGGCATATACCAGGCATTAGTTCCACAAGTTTTTTAAGGTATGTTCCAGGGATTGCATTGCAAGCTTTCTTAAAGGGGACCTGCCATAAAAATGTAATTTTGTGTGTTTTTTGTGTCAGATAAGGTCCATATTATGTTCGTCTTATGTTGTAAATGTGAAAACAAACCGTTACGTCGTTTGCATTCTGTAAAGGTTTAAAATAAAGGAACGAGTAAACCAGGCCAATTGAAAAAGCAGGTCCATCTGACATTGCGTTGACATTGCTCATTATTATTCACGAGCGCGTCCTCGGTGAGCCGCGCCCACTCTCTCGTTCGCGTACTCAGTCACAGCCAGAGCGAGACCCAGCTACCACTGTATCCGCTATGGGTCTCTTCCAAACGACCGGTGTTTCCTTCGGTTCACTGCCGGGAAAATGAACTTAAAGCTGGACAGAATGAATGAGAAAACAACGCTGGAAATCTCCGGCTTCTTCCTCAACTTCCACCCCCACTTCGGACTCGGGGTCTAAAATATATGGTTTAGTACCTGCCGTTTTTAGCCTTTAACATAAGGTGACCAGACGTCCCGGATTTCCGGGGACAGTCCCCGTATTGGATGACCTGTCCCCGGCAAAAGCTGTCTCCGAAAAATGTCCCCGATTTAAGCGTTTCATGAATGAGAGCAAAAAAGTTGCGTGTGGGCTCGAACATCGGTTATTACAGTAGCCGAATAGGTAGGAAGCACAAGTAAGCAGTCCTGAACAACAGTTTTTAAGGGGGTTATTACAAGGGGCATGCGCTGCTACTAAATAGTACCGAGACTTTGTCTGTGATCACACAGCCCCTGCAGCCCCTGCACCGCCGCCACCGCCGCCGCACCGAATATCCCTGGATATCATTACAGACATCTGGGCACCTTACTTTAGCACACATTAGCATATGCTATTAGTATTAGCATAATAACAATGGATAAACCGAAATCCGAACCTCCACTGCTGAGCCAGTCAGAGCACAGCAGGCTTCACAGCAGCGATCCAATCAGAGCAAAGCTCATTACCATAAATGTTAATGAGCCAAAACCAGTTGGTTTTCCTGTAAGGTTTTTTAGGCATACTAAAACAAACCATCAAATAACTTTTCAGCTAAAATTATGTTGCAAACATGATCAGAGGACATCAAGGATTATGAAAAAATGATAAAAATGGGTATAAAATTTTGGTGGCAGGTCCCCTTTAAGTTCATTAAAAAGAGACTGCTGATTTGTGGGATGCGTTTTTCTGACCAATCGATCCAATTCATCCCGCACAAGCTCAATTGGAGAAAGGTCTGGAGACTGAGGGGGCCAAACCATCTTTTGAAGAACACCTTCCTCTTCTTTTTGTCTAGGTAACCCAGACAGAGCTTGGCAGAATGCTTAGGGTCATTGTCTTGCTGCAAAACAAACTTATGAGCCACAAGTCTGAGTCCAGATGGAACAGCATGGTGCTGGAGGATGGAGTGGTACTGTTCCTTCTTCATGATACCCTTTACTTCAAACAAATCTCCTACTCCATCACCTGCAAAACATCCCCATACCATGGAACTACCACCTCCATGCTGAATTGTGGGTGTAACACATGGTGCTTTCAGACGTTCACCAATTTGTCTGCGGACATTGACTCTGCGTTTTGAACCAAACAGTGCAAACTTGTTTCTAGTCATCATAAGTCCAATTTTTGTGAGCTTTTGCCCACTCATATCTCTTTTTCTTGTTCTGTGGACGAGGTAGTGTTTTTTTGTAGATACAAAACCCTTCAGACCAGCCTTTCTCAAACGTCATTTCACAGTTGTCAGAGATATGGGTTTCGACCTTGTAATGTTTATTTCCTCCCTTATTTTTGGTGCTGTCTTTTGCCAGTCGCTCTTACTGGTGACAATACTATGTTTATCCTCTGCTTTTGTAGTAACTCTCTTTCGTCTTTTTCTATCATCATAACTTCCAGGTTCCTCTAGTGTCTTCAGAGTGTAGTGGACTCCTTTGTTAAACACCTTCAGGCGTTTTGCAATTTCTTTCTGTGTATCCTTCTTTCCTCAATGTACAACTCGGTACTTTTGTTTCTTTACTCAGTTGCTTCTTTCGAGCCATTTTTGCCGTAGTTTGAATGCAGTTGAGGTTTATTAGGATTTTTGTATGCAGACTCCCAAAAGCCAAAAAGTTGAAGTGAATAATCTTAGGTGATTTGTTTTTTTGCTTTTGCACTGAAGTTATGACTCTTGCAAATGTTTTCAACCCTAAAACTAAGCCCTTATTATCTTTTGCTGGTAAATGGAGTAAAATGGTGCATTTCCATGAAAGCAACATCTGATCATGGAGTAAATACATCCCAAAATACATGAAACTCATGCTGGATTTTAAAAAAGGTATTGTGAACCAAAACTTGAAGTTACTCCCAACTGTTCGGCCTGTAATGGCCTTGCTTCCAAACTTTTGGCCTGTAGTGTACTTGTGTTAAAATATTACAATAAACTTTTTACAAACGACTCCCCATGGACTCGGAGGACAGTTTGTTTTGAGGAAATGGGTTTGTAGCTTGTTGTCTTTATTAAAGTGATTAAAAAGGGGGGTCGGGTCTGTATCTATTTTGTTTAATTAATGAGTTATTGACTCAGACAGTCTGAATCTGTGAATATCTTTCTAACTTTATCCAAGTGACAGTGCATCCCTGTCTTTTTCATCATCAGTAGGCTGCCTGTCTGATCTGGCACCTTTTACTGGTTATGATTGTTACCCTGTTATGTTTTTTTTTTTTTAAATACCCGCAATAGACCGCTAGATTTGTGGAAATAGCGAAACTCTTGTCCTGAAGTTCTGGTGCAGGTGCAGGAGACCTATTTAGCCAGTGAAAAAGAGGGGAACTTTTAACCACAATATCTAATAGCCTGTGTTAAAGGGAGAATAAAAACATATGCAGTCGCACCAACGTGACCTGATGAAATTCTTACTCACATGCTGAAAAAAAGGTTGCATATTTGACCATTTTGGTCACAGTCTTAGCCCTGTGTATGCTTCGTCACTCTGTTTTGGTCTCCACCAATAATGGAATTATATATGGCCTGTAACTTTTTGATAAGCATCTGTTCAGGGGCTAACTCTCCTTAAAGCTGTGTGTTGCTGAACAGATAGTGTACTGTGGAGTTATCAGAGAGTTTTTGTTTTGGTGGAAAGAAACAGAACAAGAACTAAATGAAGCAAAATGCTTCAGGTTAAAGAGCTGTCGTGGTGTGGTGATGATTCCCTGTGGACTCATTATGAGTGGCACATTTTCCTTTACACGCTTATTTTATCCATTGTGAACATGAAAAACGTTGATTGGTGCAGCTTCAAATAGGTGGTTAAAAAATCAGGTATAATTCCAAGTCACAAAGTGTGATGTGGCTTAAGCTGCAATCAGTAGAAAAAGACTACCTCTAAAGAATGCCCCAACACTTATCTAATTAAGCATTGTGGCTGAGCGAGGGAGAAATTAAGCATTAGTGCTATTGCTGTGGGCAACTCCTTCCCACAGTGACAACTAATTTCGAATCGGATACACGGTGGCGTGTTCCTGCAGGGCCCTCTGAATCAGTCATTCAAGAGCACTTAGCTGCCAGTCTTCCTCCTCAGCATCCTCTCCTTCCTCTCCGCCTGTCTCTATAATGCTGCGGCCACACTCAGATACCTACAAGCGGACGCCTTGAACTAAATGACATGTTAATTATAATTACTGGTAGCCATGGTAAATAAACAGCAGTGGAAGTGTTGAAAGTGTATGAGCAGGAGTCAGCAGGGGGCTTTGACATGTCAGAACTGGCAGTCTTAATTGTAAGTTTCGGCCTTCCCATCATCATCATTCCATCTTTCCCCCCTCTTTTTTGTGCCTGTCTTTTTTCCTCATCCTCTCAGGAAAGACAGTGATTACCCCTGTGCCGACATGCTGCATAATGGTATCAGCGCCGCCAACGGAGCAGTGAATTAAATTGTATCTGCAGCCGCTGTGAAGCCTTGATGAGGGGGGCAGATGCCTTTGTGGTGTTATCATTATAACACAATGGTCATGTTGTCATCAACCTTGCCATCGGCAATTGAAAAGGCATGATTGTGTGTTGGGGCTTTTTCTCCCGTCCTCCCTTCCACCCCCTCGCCAGCCCTGCCTCCCCATCCCCAGCCGTTTCGTTGTGAATAGGAGCAATTTTCTAAGAGCTATGAAATCACGTAATAGGTCCTAATATGCAGCTGCTTGGCACAGTGAGGCAGCCTCTATTAACGTGGAAGTCAAACACAATATGTGTTTTGGCTGGAGAATTGCTGAATATATGAGCACAGGCCAGATTTATTCAGATGAAAATCCACACAACTGTCAGCACCACAAAGACAAACTATCTGCTCCATCCTTTGACATGCGGCGCCCTATTTCAAATTCTGCCTCCACTCAAGTGGTCACAGCAAAGCATTCAACCTGTAGGATAATCATTTTGGAAAATTGAATGGTGGACCAAAACATCTGAAACACATTTTTAGTGTTTGGAAACAGATTTGTAATGGATGGTGGAGTGGCCACACATGCTCTCACCGATGCACATCGTTTCACATTTACTTCATGAAGGTATGTGCAGGCAGGTGTGTCGAATTTTATCAAGAACCTTCCTGAATGTCCAAAATCACAGGCTAATTTATTTCACATGGAAGAATCTGCTAAAAAATGTCATTTGGTTTAAGTGAGAGGTGATCTGCATCCCCTTGTTACCAATCACATTTTACTTTTTTTTTTTAACTTTAATTATAATCCTTAGGTTTTTTGTTTTATGAGTTTAAGTTGTAGATTTCTGTAATGGGCTCAATCTGTCGACTTGCTGGGGCGGTTCGTGAATGTGAAGCGGCTGGGATGCGAATCAGCACCTCCAAGTCTGAGGCCATGGTCCTCAGTCGGAAAAAGGTAGATTGCCTTCTCCAGGTCGGAGGGGCGGTCCTGCCTTAAGTGGAGGAGTTCAAGTATCTCTGGATCTTGTTTACGAGTGAGGGCAGGATGGAACGAGAGATTGACAGGCGGATCGGCGTCATCAGTGACGCGGATGCTTAACCGATCAGTCGTGGTGAAAAAAAGAGCTGAGCTGTAAGGCAAAACTCTCGATTTACCGGTCAATCTACGTGCTGAATCTCACCTATGGCCATGAACTGTGGGTAATGACGGGAAGCACAAGATCGCGGATACAAGTGGCCGAAATGGATTTCCTTCGCAGGGTGGCCGGGGCTTAGAGATACAGTAAGGAGCTCAGACACTCGGGAGGCGCTCAGAGTGGAACCGCTGCTCCTCCACGTCAAGAGGAGTCAGCTGAGGTGGCTCGGGCATCTGGTTAGGATGCCTTCTGGACGCCTCTCGTTAGATGTGTTCCAGACATGTCCCACCGAGAGGAGACCTCATGGCCGGCCCAGGACCAGGTGGAGGGATTATATCTCTCGCCTGGCCTGGGAGCGCCTGGGAATCCCCCCGGAGAAGCTGGTGGAAGTGGCCGGGGTGAGGGCCGTCTGGGCTTCCCTCCTGAAGCTGCTGCCCCCGCGACCCGGACCCGGATGACTCCTTTTCTATTTATAGGTTGCAGCTGAGATTTGTTCAGGCCATACCTGATGGGGTACCAGAATGCTAGGATATCGGCACCTTGTTTCGTTAAACTGTGCCCAGGTGGCGCTATGAAATGTCTGAAAAAAAAAGGCAATCTGTGATATTGCTATAGATATACACAGCCACATGAAATTTGGTACACAGGAGGAGCGTCCTCTTGAGGGCTCCAATGTCAAAATGGAGATCCAACAAATAATGGCTCCATAGCGCCCCCTGCAGAATTTCAAAATGTAAGCCTTGCTCCTGTGAGTGACCCAAATTTATGGCATCAAGGACACGTATGTTGGACCCCAAGATGAACAAAAAAGCCTTTTGGACCCATGGGCCACGCCAAAGCCGAAGTTGAAAAAAAAAAACACACATTAGTGGTCAGAGACAGCCAAGTCTACAACAGAGGACACACTGGTGGACAGGCCGTAGGTGATGATCAAATCCAGCGTTTGTCCTCTGTTGTGAGCTGGCTGTGTGACGTGTTGAATAAAATCCATATAATTAAGAACATTTAAAAACTCTATGGAAATCGGATCAGAGGAGTTATCTATGGCTGTATCCGAAATGAATCACTCAATCCCTAACCCCTAACCCTCATATGGGATTTTACTATATAGTTGACTATGTAGTGAACTGAATCACCGGAGTTTTCGGACACTACATGGCATGACGCAATGCATGACAGGATGCCCACCACCGATGAGTGACCATCGGACGGTCACGAAAATTTTGCAATGCTTTATGGGAAATTTTGAGTTGCCTATATAGGGCACTGGAATTGATCACTGAGATTTTGGACACCCCTCAAAATGGCGCTAACCCCCATGTAGTCACCTATATAGGGTTTAGGGATCCATTTCGGACACAGCCTATGTGTAAGTTAAAATCACTGGTTAAAACAATCATGCTGTAGGAGTTGTGTAAAACTGATAAAAAATTCAGTAAATTCACGGCTAAATGCAGTGCATTTCTTGGGTGGTCTGTATACTGTGATACACAGGATAGGAGGACTGCTAAAAACACTTGCACTGTACTCAAAAGTTGTTTATTTATCAAATAAAACAGGTTTGGTGGCCAGGGTGTTTGAGGTTAAAGATGCTGTGCCACCTCCTCTTCTACCACGCCTAACAGAAAATGCAAAGTGGGAGGCCTCAGTGAGAACAACTAGTGCATCCGTACCCAGCCATGTTTCAGTTAAAAACAAACAGTCTAGTTTGTGGTCTAAAATCAGGTCATTGACAATAAAAGACTTGTTCAGCAGAGAGTGGACGTTTAAAAGGGCCATTTTTATGGTAAGTGGCGGCTGGTTCACAAGATGTTGTGGTGAGTGGGCTTTTGGGATTTGAGATTATTGAAGTTAGTGGTAGGATTATGGGTGATTTTCTGCATACGCCTCTCTCTGCTGATGACGGTCGGAATGTGAAATGTTGGACATGAGTTTGCTGGGGCCAATGAGGAGTGAGTTTTCACAGGGGGTACAGGGGCTATCAAGAGTCATGCTTGTGTGGACAGAGTGTGGTAGAATATGTTTGAAGACAGCATCCGTGAACCTAAATTGTTTGGGTGCAACCCATCACTTCTAAAGAAAGTAGAGCGTAGCCAGAATAAGTCAAAGTTCTGAATAAATATGAAATTTAGTGCTCTGCACTGAGTTTGAAGCCACTCATGCAGGCTCAGGAGCCTGCTAAAGAGCCCCACTCCCCGATCCAGCGTAGGAATTGGGCCAGAAATGAAAATAATTCTTCCACTGGCCTGCAGCAGTTCGAAGAAATCCCTTTTTGTGACTTCAGATTGTTGCCGGCCTGTGTCATTTGTGAAGACATGAACAACAACCTTCTTCACAGATGGGTGGTCTGCAAGCAAGCCAGGGATGACCCGAACAATGTCTAACACTTTAGCTCCAGGAAAAAAGAAAGTTACAGCCATCTTTGATGTTATATTCCTCATATTCCTCATAATGGAATCTCCGATTATTATTGTGGACGGAGGCGGCATCACGGAGGGCTCCTTATTGGGCGCCGACAGTGGATTTGCCGCTGCAGCCGGCGAGGGCCACAGCGAGGGTGCCCTGGCAGACTCTGTAGGAGTACCTCCTGCCCTGACAGGGGAAACAGGTCCGGCAGAGCCTCTTCTGGACACTGCCTCCCTCAACAGCTGGTGTCGAGAGGATGATGAGGATGTTGGGATCCGATTTCCCGGTTGTTCCCCCAGCGGAGGAAAATCCTGCATGCCCAAGATCTCGAACCTGTTGGCCAGTGGGAAATCCTGGGATGACGGAGAAGGAGGAAGACACGGTCGCGCTGTGCAGCACCTTTCCCTCTGTACAGCTGCCCAGGGCTCCGGTTGGCATGGAGTGGAGTTCAGTGGTTGACAGCTGGCCACTCCATGCCAGTTGACAGCTGGCTGCATCTCCCCAGAGGAAGACGCAACAGGGGCTGTGTCCTCCAACTCGGCACTCAAGGAAGCTGGTGCTGCTCCAAGGATTATTGTAGCCAAGTAGTTCTTGGTGTCCTGGATCTTGTAGAGTGTTGAGATTCTCTGCTCCAGCTCACAGATTTTCCTTTAAAAATCGGCGCAGCTTTGACAGCCAGGCGATAGGGTGAGTGGAGCCATGGCCCTTGAGTGTTCGGTGCTTGATTATCCTGGAACACTAGGATCAAGTGAGCCGAAAAAATAAGAAAGTCCTTCCACACACAAGAGACGGTTGAAAATTAAAAGTATCTAAAAAATCTGGTAAAAAATCTGCTAAAAGATAACTTTTTAGCAGTTTTTGGTAGTGGTAGAGCAGCCGGGGGGATTTGCCTGTTATCTGTTGGTTTTTTCATATAAAAATGAACAGACAGACACAGTCTTTGTTGGTTTCTTCAGGGTCATATTTTCAGCCACAATCTTTCTTTTTTGTTGGCTAAAGGCCGATAATGGAAAAACTAGAGCGGGACACAGGAACACGCCCTCTTTGTTTAGGATGCATGTTCAAAGTAGTCCTACCGCTCATCAAGCCCTAAATTCATCCTCGTATGGTTGTTAGTCCAACCCCATATGGCACAACACATACCAGAACTACATGAAGACATTTGCAAATTTGTAAGACTCAACAAAGTATACGTTAAAAAAAAAGGCAGATTGGGGCATTTTGGATTCAAAACAACTGCTATCGATGTTCCTTCAACAACATTAATCACGGTGAGAAACCAGCTTTACTCAATGTACATTGTATTACAGGACGTTTTAACTATAATTGTAAATACGGCAGCATCTCTGGGAATAAGGTGGATAGATTTCAAAACATGGCCAACATCCAAATCAGGAGCAATATCAAACTGCATGATTCTATGCATTATAACATAATTTATATCAAACACTATCAAGCAGCTCTTTTGGATTTGATTGGAGTCATTTGGGATGTGTTTTATGTGAATTAGATCATGGTGAGACTGGCTCTGTGATGGAGATCCTGTGGAATCTTGTGGATCCAAAGATTATTAAAATACTCAACATTCATGAAGGGACATCCGTCTGAATGTTACAGCAGATTGGTGACCCACTTTGTCACCAGTTCAACTCAATGAGATGCATACCTGGCTATTGGTGGACTACATGGAAAACTGATGGACTTCATTGACAGCTGGTGGACTACATGAATGATTGATGGACTACATGGAATATTGGTGGACTACATGGATGATTGATGGACTACATGGACTATTGGTGGATCACATAGGCAATTGGTTGACTACATGAACTATTGATGGACTACATGGACTTCATTATCTAGATTTTTGGCTAATTTTATTCACTCACCACAGGGTTCAGCCAGTGGAGGCCTGGTGGGGTCAAGTGTTTTGCCCAATGACACTTTGGCATGTGAACAGCCTTGGGATCAAGCCCCCAACCTTCTGACTAAGAAGTGACAGGCTCTACCACTGAGCCACCGCTGCTTCTGATCAAGCAGGCAAGAATGAAACCTGAGTAAAACTGCAAAAACAAACAATTGACAAACTACATCATGCATTTGCTGATTCGCCAGAGGAGTGGCTGGTAGCTCTTTTTCCAAGTTAACATGCATATTTAATATTAAGTGTGATTTGATATAACTTCCTGTACTCTCTTCCAGCTGATTATGAGTTAAGCAGCTTAAGGTTTTTATCAGTCTCGTTGGTTCCCTGATCTGATGATTACAAACTACCGTAGTTTCTTTAGTTCTATATTGATATTGGCCAAGTAACACAGAAAACTGAAGGAAACAACACCCAAAACTGAGAAAACAAGACCCAAACTGAGAAAAACAACACTCACACTCTAGGAAATGACATCCAAATCTAAGAGAAACCCTAACCCCAAACCAAGACAAACAAGTCCCAAACCCGAGAATAAAAATTGAGTAAAAGAAACAACTCCCAGATTTAAAAGAAACAACAGTCCAAAACTGACTGCAACAACACCCGTACTGTGAGAAACAACACCCAAAACTGAGAGAAACAACATCCAAACTGAGAGAAACAAAACCCAAACTGAGGAAAAACAACATCCAAACTGAGAAAAACAACACCTAAATCTGAAAGAAGCAAGACCTAAACGGAGAAAAAAAACACCCACACTCTAAGAAACAACACCCAAATCTAAGAGAAACAACAACCAAAACTGAGAAAAACAACCTCCAAAACTGACCGCAACAACACCCATACTGTGAGAAACAATACCCAAACTATGAGAAACAAAACCCAAACTAAGAAAACAAAACATCCAAACTGAGAAAAAAAAACACCTAAACTGAGAAAAACAACACCTAAAACTGAAAGACAAACAATTCCCAAACCTAAGAAAAACAAGAGTAAGAGAAACAACACCCAAATCTAAGAGAAACAAGATCTAAAACTGTGAAAAACAACATCCAATACTGGCCGAAACAGCACCCAAACTGTGAAAAAAAAAAAAAAAAAAACACACAGAACTAAAAGAAATAACTCCCAAACTCAAAGAAACAACACCCAAACTGTGAGAAAGAATACCCAAAACTGCAAGAAACAACACCCTAACTCAGAGAAACAACACCCAGACTGAGAGAAAAAAACCCTAACTGACAAAACAACAACTAAGAAGAAATGCATGTTCACCCTCTGAACATCCCCTCAGTGTCGGGTCATGTTAATGATACAGCTTGTTACAGTGACTTCCATCTACTGATTCTGTATTGTCATGGAGTTATTATGATTTGTAGGTCAGTGAATGGCAGGGTCCTTAGAGTATTATAGCAGTTGACAGTTTTACTCTTTGCATTAAAGGTTGGACCCTCAGCCTACTATCATTAGTTCTGTATTTTTCAGTCAGTTGCTGGTTAAACTTGCCGTTTGTGTTTAAATTCTACACTGACAGGATGTCTTACTCTACCTCTCATCGTCGTACTGCTGCTGGTCAAAGGCACAAACTGGCAGTGATGTAAGTCTTACTAACTGGGACTTTCTGTACTTGTGCTGACCCAGTCGGGCTGAATTTACCTCGCTGGAACTCACTAAGCTTCTGGATGACCTTGTCTCTCTCCTCCTGCAGCCTCTTGCACTAATGTAGGACAGACAGAGAGTAGCTTTAACACAGGGTCAGTGCTGCTTAAATCTGCCTTTAGCCTGTTATTCCCCTCTCCCCTGAGCTGCACAGCTCAGAAACTGGAAAGCACTGCATTTATTCCAGTCAACTCGGGGAAAAAGGCGTTTGCTGAATGATTTGCAATAAGAAATCAGGCAGTGACATATCATGACTATTACCAGAGTGCGTGCTAAATTCCAATGTATAACAATTTTGAGACACTGTGATAGTGAAATCTCTGTGCTGTTTATTTACCCTTCTAAAATAGTCAGCCACTGAAAATGGGCAAAAAAAAGGGCATTTTCGGTTTCGTAAGACTTTTATCACCAAAACAGGATGTTGTGATGACTCATGCATGACATTTTTTAAAAAGTCAAGACAATTTTCAGTGATGGTGCCAGGGCGAAAAAAAAAAAAAAGACTGACTTCATTGCCTTAGATGATCAGCTGTTCTGTCGTTCTGTCATAGAGGATGGGAGATTTCATAGGCTTATTCAACACATGGCACCCCGTTATGCCAAGCAGATGACATTTGTCAGACATATGTTGACCTGAGCTGTTTATTGTTGTTGCAGCTCATGTTTCAATTTCACAAATTAATCTAAATTTAATATTAAATATTATTTAATATTGATTCCTGCTGGCAGGAGGGAATAGACCCCAACGGGGCTGGCAAGGGTTAGCTACCCTTGTTGGCAGGAGCCTTTTACTACACAGTGTCTTGGATCCACCCAACTATTGCTACGAAAAGCTCAAAAGGAAAAACACCCCTGGAGTCTGCGAGAGCGGGGGCGAAAGATGACTCACCGGCTGACCACATGGTAACGAACCTTGCAGCGGAAACGACAACGAATCAAATGATCAGCACAGCAGTTGAAGGAGCAACAGCACGGGCAGGATATAAGCTACAAAGCTGCATCTGTGGCTGGACAAAGGTAACATCAGAGAAGGGGCTCAAGATCCACCAGGGCAGGAAAAAGTGCCTGAGAGAGCTTAGCGAGGGGCCTCGCATTGACCACTACTTCCTCAGAGGTAGGACAAATAAGTTGAGTGAAGCCTAGTGGCAGGACACTCACCACAGGTCACAGGGTATCAGAACCCCAGATGAAGCTCAAACAAGCACAGATCCACCAACGGACATGAGTCCAGAGCTCATCCAGCCACAGGCGGCAGTAGAGAGGAAGGCGAATGGACGGAAGCCTCAAATCCTGTGGCCTAAATCCTGCCTGAAAAAGGAGTGGGAAACCACCAATGCAGACCTTGTCCATCTCCTTGAAGGTCTGAAGGGGTGCGTGGACAGGAAGCTGGACAAGATTGGAGAGATCATCTACAACTATGGAGCAGAGAGATTTGGGGTGAAGGATAAGAATCCTAGGAGGCAGAAGGAACCAGCAGCTCATCTCAAGTCCAGGAGACAACAAGAGATCGACAGACTTGTGAAAGAAAGAAGGTCCCTGAGAAAACGGTGGAAGAAGGCCACAGAAGTGGAAGGAAAGGACTTGAGGCACTACAGGGCGACATCAAGCAGCGTCTTGCAACACTGCGAAGAGCAGAATGTTTGAGAAAGCAACACAAGAAGAAGGAACGAACGAGGACTGCCTTCTACAGAGACCCCTTCAAGTTCGCCAAAGACCTCTTTGTCAAGGAGAAAACTGGGACCCTCGAAGCATCCATAAGGGAACTAGAGGAGCACCTGAGGAAGACCTACTCCAACAACCAGAGGCATGTGCTAGCCAGCATTCCGGATGACATGCCACCAATCCAGCCACCGGAGCACCAGATGGAAACTAGGCCCCCTACATGGAGCGAAGTCGAAAGCACAGTAAAGCGGGCAAGAACAGCCTCAGCCCCTGGGCCCAAGGGCATTCCATATAGGTTCTATAAGAACGCGCCGGGTGTCCTGAAGTACCTCTGGAGGCTGATAAAAGTGGCGTGGGAAAAAGGAATTATACCAAAGGCTTGGCGACGGGCGGGAGGGATCCTGATTCCCAAAGAGAAGAATTCCTCAACCATCGTTCAGTTCCGACAGATATGTCTTCTGAATGTGGAAGGAAAGATTTTCTTCAGTGTTGTGGCCCAGAGGCTTTCAGCATTCTTGCAGAGAAACAACTTTGTCGACACCTCAGTGCAGAAAGCAGGGATAAGTGGATTCTCAGGATGCCTGGAACACACAAATGTCATCTGGCACCAGGTACAGACGGCCAAGAAGGAGAAGAAGGACCTGCATGTGGTATTCTTAGATCTTGCCAATGCATTCGGATCAGTGCCTCATGAGATGTTGTGGACAGCGTTCAATTTCTTCCAAGTCCCAGAGGGCATCACAAGGCTGGTCAAGTCTTATTTCCAGGATCTCCAGTTCTGCGTTACAACACAGTATAGTACAACTGCCTGGCAGCATCTTGAGATTGGCATAATGGCAGGATGCACCATATCCCCACTGGCGTTTACCATGGCAATGGAGCTCATTATTCGAGCGTCCTGGTGGGTGGTTGGAGGGCAACGTCTGGAGAGTGGACTTCGTCTTCCTCCTATCAGAGCGTATATGGACGACATGACGACAATAACAACAACAAGCGCATGCACCAAACGCCTGCTGGATAAACTCCAGGGAAACATCAAATGGGCACGAATGGAGATAAAACCCAGTAAATCCCGCAGCATCTCCATTGTCAAAGGCCAGCTCAGCAATGAGCGGTTCCACATCAACAACGAGCCAATACCAACCGTTCTGGAGAAGCCTGTCAAAAGCCTTGGCCGCTGGTACAGTGCAGAGCTCAAAGACTCGAAGCAGTTGGAGCAACTCAAACTAGATACCATCCATGGCCTCAAGCAGATCAACAGCACAGCTCTGCCTGGAAAGCTGAAACTGTGGTGCCTCCAGCTTGGGCTGCTGCCCCGTCTCATGTGGCCAATTTCCATCTATGAGGTCACTATATCCCATGCCAAGCGGCTGGAGAGACTGGTGAACGCACAAGTGAGGAAGTGGCTTGGACTGCCGAGATGCCTTAGCAGCATAGTCTTATATGGCAACGGAGCACTCTCCCTACCAATCTCAAGTCTGGTGGAGGAGTACAAATGTGCTAAATCAAGGCTGGAGATGACTCTCACCGAATCCCGGGATCCATTCGTCAGAGGAGCTGCTCCAACCTTAGCAACGGGGAGGAAATGGAAGCCATCTGCAGCAGTCGCGGGGGCAAAGACTGCTCTCAGACACCGGGATATAGTGGGACATGTCCAACACGGCAGAGGCGGCCTTGGGTTGGAAGCAACAACACCGACATGGCAAAAGGCGACTCCAGCTGAACGGCGCCGCATGGTGGTAGAAGAAGTGCGCCACCAGGAGGAAGCAGCCAGGTGTGCCACAGCGGTCTCCCAAGCTCAGCAAGGCCGCTGGATGAAGTGGGAAGGCGTCGAGAGGAAGAAAATCACGTGGAGCGATATGTGGAGCATGGAGTCCAACAGGCTAAGCTTCATCATTAGAGCCACCTACGATGTCCTGCCCTCTCCAACCAACCTGCATGTCTGGTATGGAGAGGACCCAGCCTGTCTCCAGTGTGCAGCCCCGGCTACCCTCAAACACATCTTGGTGGGCTGCAAGACCAGCCTAACCCAGGGAAGATACACCTGGCGCCACAACCAGGTGTTGAAGTGCTTGGCTGCCGAAATTGAGAACAGGAGGGTAACCACCAATGCCATGCCTCTAAACGCCCAAACTACAGGCCCACGGAGAACAAACTTCGTTCGGGAAGGAGAGAAAAGAGGCACAAAGTCATCTCCTCCGGATCCAGCTCCACTGAACGCAGCCCGGGATTGGGAAATGCGGGTGGACCTCACCCAGAAGCCCACCTTCCCACCCGAAATTGCAGCAACCAACCTGCGCCCAGACCTGGTCCTCTGGTCCAAATCCTGCCAGCGTGTCTTCATCGTTGAGCTGACCGTCCCATGGGAAGATGCCATCGATGAAGCATTCGAGCGAAAGAGACTGCGATATGCCAACTTAGCAGCTGAAGCAGAGGGGCGGGGCTGGAATGTGAAGGTGTGGCCAGTGGAGGTCGGCTGCAGAGGCTTTGTAGCCAGGTCTGCCACATGGCTCCTGAAGGAATTAGGAATCAGAGGGCAGGCCCAACGGAAGGCAATTAAAGAACTTGCCACAACAGCAGAACGGAGCAGTCACTGGCTATGGCTGAAACGTAAAGATGCAGTATGGGCAGCCAAGTGACCGCATGGTGCCACCATACACCACACACCCAGGGCTGATCATCCTGTGGTGGGCCAACCCTGACAGAGGGTGTCTTGTTGTAAGTGGCCGAAACACCCAATGAAGTTGGGGCGAACAACTGATGATGTGACGTGCTGGTGGCACCAGGTGATCATTGCCAATTCCCACCCCACTCAAGAGTAGAGGACATCTTCAATGACTGTCAATTGATGAGCTGAATATTAGGGATATTTAACAACTAGTCCTATTAAGAAGTCAGTTAATATTATTTTTATTCAATGGCAATACCTTGGTTTCAGTGAAATTAGTATATAGTCATAGCCATAAATATAATGGTACAAATAATTGGCATAATAATTTTGTTTGATGTTTCTTGGTTTTCCCATTTTCAGTTCTCGGTTTTGGCCAAGAATTGTCATTTCGATGCACCTCTACTTAATAGTATCTTATGCTAGTGTTACACTAGTTGTCTTTAGTTTTGCAGATAATTTACATTTATCCATCCATTTCTATCTAATATTTACAAGTCACAGAAGATCAATGTTCAAATACACCTGTTAAAGTTTTTTTTTTGTTTTTTTTAATCTTTGTATTTATTGACTTTATCGACTTCTATCTACTTGAAGCAGAAAGCCTCAGATTGTCACAGTAAGAGCAACATGATGTTCTGGATCAGGAGGATATAGGCCTCATGACCCGGTCTATTCTTGACTTTTTCTATCCAGGATCAGGTTATCCATCTTCAATCTAGATCAGATTGACTGGATCCAGAGACAGACTTTTACAGATTACTTGAGCCAAACTACCTGAGTTACAAAAACACATTTAACACTACATCCTTTATCCACAGGGGGCGCCAAAATCCTAGCAGAATAAAATATCCACACAGCAGATTTGAAACAAATGATATCATGGTGGATTTGAGATTGATGCCATTTATAAATCCTTTTTTTCAACAGCATTAAAATCTACTTTGACTTTGTCACTGAGGAAATACATTTTTCTCAAGTAGAAAAACATTTTTGCAATACATTTTTGCAACATGTAGGCAAAAAGGTCTCTCTCGTGTTTGTCATTGACACATGCTTCAGTGTTTGGTCCATAAAAAATCGCATTTAAAATATGTAATCAGATTGCATCAAAACAATCCTGGATTTTTGGGATTTCAGTTAACCCATTCCTACCCAAAGGTTTTAAAAACTCTAACTCAAGATTTTATCCTAATACAACAACATTCAATCCTGATTTAGTCTGTCTTTGTAAAATCTCGCTTACTTCTGAACAGCGGACAGACTATACTAAAGCATAATTTCTGCATTACAGAATATAAAGTATTAAATCAAATCCGATTACTGTATTATAAATGCATATATCTATATCTATATATATATATATAGATAGATATATATATGTATGTTTCCCTGACTTGTATGAGCATCAAGCTGAGTTTATATCCACTTTGAAGAGATATGACACACTGAAAATCCATCACAATGACAGACATTTGATATTGCAGGCAGTGTGTGACTGTTTTTTATCACAGAGTGGTACAACATAGTCACACTCACCTCCATGTCTGCAGTCTGGTGCCTCCTCTGCAGGCCTTCATACTCCTGGATGGCTGTGGGGAGCAAATGGTGCCAGAAGACATCTCATCAGTAGGTCACAGTCCAGGAAAGAGTCAGTGAAGAACAAGAAACTCACATCATCATCCAAAAAAAAGGGAGGGAAAACTCCTCATCCAGTGTCTGTTGTTCATCATCACCTGACCATCATGTTAGGAGGTTATGAGTAAGGGACACGCTGGATGTCAGAACAATTTCCCCAGGGTCAAAATGACTGTGCAGGAACTGACTCCTGTTTTTAGTAGTTATTGTAATAAAGCAGAAGGCTAAGTAGAAAACAAGGCTGAATCTTCAACCAAAGGAAAAAAAAAGGAAACTAACAAAAAAAAAACAGTTCTGTGTTTTTCTCAGTAATACAACATGTGATCAACAATATATCAGCGCCTAAAGTCAGACAAAAATCCTAAAAAAAACATCAATCATAAATATATAAGAATAAAAATAAGAATAAGAAGAACTTTATCAATTCCCGAAGGGAAATTCAGTTGTCTGTTGTCTCACATAATATGTTTATAAAAGTTATCTATTATTTACACAAGTTATAAAGCCTGATGGCTGTTGGTACAAAAGATCTTCTGAATCTTTCTGTCCTGCAACAAAGAGAGAGGAGCCGCCCACCACCATTGGCCCTTTGGTCCATCAAGGTGTTGTGAAGTGGGTGATCCATGTTCTTAGAATACACTCGATCTTCCTTAGTGTAGATATCTCCACCACATCCTCCACTGAGTCCAGCTTGAGTCTTACCACAGAGCCAGCCTTTTTCACCAGTTAATTCACCAGACGTCTTGCATCTTTGAGTTTGATGCTTCCTCCCCAGCAGACTGCAGCGTAGAACAGCACACTTGCCACCACAGACTGATAAACATCTGCAGCATCTTACTACAGATGTCTATTGATCGGAGTCTTCTCAGGCAAAAGAGGCGGCTCTGCCCCTTTCTGTAGAGAAGTCTATATTCTTAGAACAGTCCAACTTATTATCTAGATGTACACCGTATTTATATGATGTCACCACTTCGATGTCCACTCCACAGGTGTTCACTGGCTGAAGAGGGGGATCGGATCTACGGAAGTCTATGACCATCTCCTTTGTCTTTGAGGTGTTGAGGAGGAGGCAGTTTTTGTGACTTCAGTCACTGAAGGCTCTTATTAGATCTTTGTATTCAGCTTCTTGTTCATTTCTGATACATGCCACAATAGCGGTGTCATCTGAGTATTTCTGGATGTGGCAGGACTCAGTGCTGTATTTGAAGTCTGACGTATACAGTGTGAACAGGAATGGCACCAGCACTGTCCCTTGTGGAGCCCCTGTACTGCTCATTAATGTGCCAGAAACACAGTTCTCCAGCCTGACAAACTGTGGCCTTCCTGTCAGGTAATCTGCGATCCAGGAAACACCGGCAGGATCCACTCCCATCTCTGTGAGCGTGTCTTTGAGTATGGTGGGTTGGATGGTGTTGAATGCACTTGAAAAGTAGAAGAACATGATCCTCACATAAACCCCAGGCTCCTCCAGATGAGACAGGGCACGGTGAAGCATGTAGAGGACAGCATCATCCACTCCAATGTGTTCTTTGTATACAAACTGCAGGGGGTCCAGTTTGTCTTTGACCTCAGACCTCAGAAGGTGTAGAATCAGCCTCTCCAGGGTTTTCATGATGTGTGAAGTGAGGGCCACTGGTCTGTAGTCACTGAGTTCAGCAGGACATTTTGTTTTTGGTACTGGCACAATGCAGGATGTTTTCCACAAAGCAGGTACCTGCCCCAGCTGTAGACTCAGGTTGAAGATCTTGTGGAGAAGTTGACACAGTTCTGCAGCACAGTCTTTAAGCAGCCTTGGACACACACCATCTTGACAAGCTGCCTTCCCAGGATGACGTCTTCCAAGCTCTAATCTCACCCCTGTTTCGGTGACAGACAAGGACTTGTGGTCTAGAAAGGAGGTAGTTGAAGTGGTTGAGACATTTGAACGAGATGGGGGAGGAAGGGGAGAAGTTGTAGTGGAGATTTGTTGCGTAGAGGAAGGTGGAGTAGCAGTGGGAGTGGGTGTGACAGCAGTGTCAAATCTGTTGAAGAACAAGTTGAGTTCATTAGCTCTTTCTAGATCACCCACCACTGGCTGTCTTTTCTTTTTGTTGCTGTGTCCAGAGATGGTACTGATTCCTCTACACACTTTACAGATGTTGCTGTGTTGTAGATTCTTCTCTATCTTCTTTTTGTACTCTAGCTTTGCCGTCTTCAGTCTCCTCTTCAACTCTTGTTGCACTTGTTTGAGTCGTTCTTTGTCACCATCTTTAAAAGCTTTCTTTTTCTGGTTAAGGATTGGTTTTATGTCACTTGTGATCCAAGGTTTGTTTGTTGGGGAAACAGCGAACAGTCTTTGTTAGTATAACTGTGTCTCTACAGAAATTATATATTTAGTAAAGCAGTCAACCTGTCTGTCAGTGTTCATACTATCCACATTTGTTTCCAGCAGCACATTCCAGTCTGTCGATTTAAAACAGTCCCTTAGAGCTTCACTGGCTTGAGGTGTCCATCTTCTGATTTTGACTTTGGTCACAGGCTGCCTCAGTACACAAGGTCTGTAACAGGTTGCAGATAGACCATGATCTGACTTGCCCAGTAGTGGTAAGGCAGAGGCTCTGTAGGCTTCTTTGACGTTGGCATACAGCAGATCCAGGGTTTTGTTTTCTCTGGTAGGACAGTTCACAAACTGTGTGAATCCAGTTAGGTGAGAGGAGAGGGTGACATGGTGGAAGTCTCCTGATATTATTATTAGTGCCTCCGGGTGTTGAGTCTGTGGCCTGGCAACACTGTTTTGCAAAACATTGCATGGAATTTCTTCAGTTGATTTGTGTGGAATGTAAACAACTACTGTTATGA